ACTGGAGGTTCCATTTGACCTAGCCATCCCTCTGCTGGGTATCTTTCCAAGAGAACTAAAAGAATCATATCACAGAGAAGTATGTGCACCCATGTTTATAGCGGCACAGTTTGTAACAGCTAAATCTTGGAAACAGCCCATTTGCCCATCCGTTGGAAACTGGATAAAGAAGATGTGGTTTTTCTATAAAATGGAATATTACTCAGCCATAAAGAACGAGAAAATAGATTCATTCATAGGAAAATGGATACATATTGAAGTTATATTCCTAAGTGAAATAAATAAGTCACACATGTGTAAATACCAAATAGTTTCCCTGGTGTGAATAACCTGCAACAATGCATAAGATTCTAATAAGATTACTGACATTTAGAAATGGGAAGAAAGGAGCTAAAGGTGTAGGGAAGGTGGGATGGGTAGGGGAAGAGTAAAAAGGGAAAAGAAAAAAATGTGAGAGAATGAAAAGATGAAAATAAAGTGTTTGTAGATGGGGAGGGGAGGAGGGGGTGATGGGAGGGCAGAGGTAAGGGGAAAAAATGAGATTCAAGACTTGTCATGTAGAGGTACAAGATCCCAACAATGAATGTAACTGTACTGTATCCCTAAAATGTACCAATAAACTCAATTAAAGCTGAAAAAAAATACCTGGTTAAAATGGAAGCTGCGTCGTTATCGCTGTTTTGTGACATCAAGGACTACTTCGGTAAGACTGTAGCAGGATTATCTTATACACTCACAGTAAGCCAGCAGTGCCAATGTCGCTCCCTTCCTCCTCCCCCTCATAATAGTATCCTTTTAATAATAATATTATTAGAATCATATAATAGTTACTACCGTTCTCAAAGGCTAGTAAGGAAATAATTACAAGGGAGCTATTGGTATTCGTACAACTGCAGAAAATTTAAATTAGATGACCTTGTAAAGAGGAGAACTATTATAACTTCGATAGAGATTAGACAGCTTTGAAATACTTACAGTGGTGCCTCGGTTCATGAACTTAACTCTTTCCACGATTCTGGGGAAGATGACCACAGCCACGTCATCATCCAATGCGAAGTTCGCAAATGGAAGCAAAATTTTGTTCGATGCTTCTGTTTGTTAACGAAACTGTTGGCAAACAGAAGCATTTATGAACAGAGGTATTACTATATTTCAACTCGTGAATTTTCTAGTTAAGGAAAGAAGGAAAAGGGGAGAGATGAAAAAAAAAGGATTGGAGAGGCAGAGATAAAAATGCATGATAGTTTTCTTTATCTCCTATAAATCCTTG